GCCAAAATCGCCAAGATTTTCTTGAACTTATTTGGATTTCTTAGCGCTATCGGCGTTAATTCGCATAGGAACTGTATGATTGCGTGAGGCTGGTATAATCTAAAGTTTGGGAGATTTCCAATTTTTTTTCTTAAAGTATAAGACAATTTGTAGCGAAAATATTTCGCACCTGAACTGTTAGTTTTATCTGATTTGTGCGAATTAGACGTTGAGGATGAGGTATCTGAATCTTCAGCTATGCAGCTGAAATCGGTTGTAAAATCTGGGTAGCTAGACTGGGGTTTGTCTAGAAATGTTGAGCCTATAAGAGTAATCCCTTTTTGAGTTTTTTTATTGGGTTTATCTGTGATTTCAAACATTTCTTCATCAATATCATGTTTGTGTCCTTTATTTTTTTTATTGAAAGATGATATTATTTTTTGTATATCATCTTTATCTAAATTTGCCTCAGTCAAGGCAAGTTTTAGGTTTGTTGTCTGCAAATCGTCTTCAATTTTTTTCTTGACATTTGGGGGACTTGGCATAATTTCATCTACATTTGAATTTGTATAAAATGTTTTGTGAGCTATTTCGGCAATTGTCGAGCTGAATTGAGGTAATTTGTCTGATGCTTCTAGGTCGGGCCAAGATTTTTTAAATTGTTCTGGTAGGTTTTGTACTAAAGTGTCAATGTTACTTTTAATTAAGTCTTTCTGGCGTTGTAAAATGCTTTCACATATCGCACGTTCGATTTGAAGCTGGTCTGGGGAAAGAACATGCGTTGCAGCGGTTTCTTCCTGCAAAATGTGGCGTGAACATGCAGGAGTGTGTTTGTGATGCGCATTTCGCTTGCTTTTTTTAACCATTTTTTTCCTATTATTTGTTCAATTAGCGTGACAAAATAACTATATAAATTTAAAGGGATTAAGAACAAATTTGTTAATTGAATGCAATTCTATTTTTTTCCAAATCAAATTCCTGAGACGAGTTTTTTTCTTTTACTCTGCTACCACTATTTATAGGAGGTCCTTTAAGGATGAGTAATTCTGTTTTTTTAAAGGTTTGATTGACCCCCTCGAGGCCGGAGATCTGCCTCAAAATCAAAGGAATTGATTTGAAATAAAATACAAATACAATTGCAGAGGTAGACCTCTATTTTGTTCCTTTTAAAACAAAAATGTACTCCTCATGAATCAAAAACGTTATATAATAAAAAAAAATGTATAAAACAACTAAACACGAACCTTTGCTTACAAACTATACAAACAATATAAGAATAATTAGATACTATGGGAAGAGTGGATCTGAAGGGCAAAATTAAAAATAATCAACCTTGATAACAAAAATTGAAAATACCAAACAAAAAAACCATAAATGAAAATGGGCCACACAACAGAAATAATTTGTATTAATAATAATTAAAGTGGATACAAATTTGAATTGGCTGGTTTTTCAGCTGGATTTTTTTCTTATTGTTTTTTCTTGCAATGCCTAGGCTAGACTGAACTATCCGTTCTCGCTTTCCTGCCTCCAGCATGGAGGGGAGAGCCTGGACATAATTTGTTGTTATATATCTTTCAATTAATTAAGGTTTTTAGTTGAGATAAAAAGTTAATGGCACGAGCGGGATTCGAACCCACGATCTTCGGCTAGATACGCCGCTGCTCTACCACTTGAGCTATCGTGACCTCGGTCCACTCGGACACCAACCTCCCATCTCACTTTGACTTTTTTAGCTCAATTAAAAACCTTAATTAATTGTAATATATCAATTGGTCAAGCGGACCACGAAATTAGCGAATTTAATGAATTTAAATCAAGTATACTTCACTAAAGCTCCCGTGGCTATTTCATTTGTCGCCGAGAATCAAATAGATTACACGACATTTGAAAAATGGCAAAAAGGAGGGAAAATTCAAAACAACAAAAATAAAAAATTAAAAACGTGGTCGAGAAAGGTTACCTGAGTCTAAAAACTAGTAAAATCTTCCTTTCTTTGTTTTTCAGGTACATGCGATCACAGTGCGTTTCTGATATATACAATCAACTTATCTTACATTTAAATTACTATACAATAAGAAAAAAAAAAAAAAAAAAAAAAACCCTGTTCGACGAGAGGAACAAAGTCTAGGGATACACTCGTTTTTTTTTCTCTCTATCCCGTAGCCTTGTTCCTCTCGTCGAAGAGTTTTTGTTTTTGATCTGTGATCTTATTGTATAGTAATTTAAATGTAAGATAAGTTGATTGTATATATCAGAAACGCACTGTGATCGCATGTACCTGAAAAACAAAGAAAGGAAGATTTTACTAGTTTTTTGACTCAGGTAACCTTTCTCGACCACGTTTTTAATTTTTTATTTTTGTTGTATTTTTAGCTGTAATTTTTAATTTATTCAATTTAAATAATGTTTAGATGCTGAGCCCCAAAAAACGTAATGTACTTCTGTGCCCAAAACACCATGTCGTTTATTTCCCCATTAAGGTTTAAGTAAGATATTTCAATTTTTGTGCAATTTGTTTTTTCATGTTTTAATTGTTTTTATAAGATAATAAAACAGGCCCTGAAGATGACAGTATAAAAACTGTCGAAAGCTCGGCGAAAACCGAAAAGAAGTTTTCTCTGTGTTTGACCTCTTCCGTAGATCCTCCGAAAAGACTTCTAGTTTCAATTAATTAAGATTTTGGTCGAGATAAAAAAGTGTCACAAGCGGGATTCGGACATTTGAAAAATGGCAAAAAGGAGGGAAAATTCAAAAGGTGAGGTTGAGATGGGAAGTTACTGTCCGAGTGGATCGAAGTCACGATAGCTCAAATGGTAGAGCAGCGGCGTATCTAGCCGAAGATCGTGGGTTCGAATCCCGCTCATGACACTGACTTTTTTATCTCAACTAAAAACCTGAATTAATAGAAAGATTTAAAAATAAGGTGGAAACAGTCATACAACCAATTGAAAATTATTAAGGGCCGATACTATGCAAGTGTTCAACCTAGGATACTCGGTTGTGTAGGGTACCTAACTGTGGTTCGAGAAGATTTAACGACCTCGCCGTTTCTTCCGTTTTAGTCACAAACGATTACCTACCACGTGCAAAAAATAGGATTAGTTGATGCACACTTCTGTACGTGCAATAACCGATCTGTAGCCGATGCCGACTACATCTTTCTGCCATGCCCCTCAGCCAACCCAGGCAGACAGACGATAGTCGCTCTACGAGGTTGGTACGGTATACCAATGCCTACAAAAATGTTGATGCTTAGCTTGACATCCGATCTTGAACTGTACAACGCTATTAAGATTTTGGTCGAGATAAAAAAAGTCAGTGTCACAAGCGGGATTCGAACATTTGAAAAATGGCAAAAAGGAGGGAAAATTCAAAAGGTTGTAATTGTAATTTCTTTCCTTCGTTATCGTTCATAATAATTAACTTAATCCCCGAATGACAAACCAATCCAGAAAAACCCATTCTCGACTCCCTTTGAGTTAAATAAAACCGCCTGTGATCAAAGAAAAATTCCCAGATTTACCGCTTTCCCCGCCGTGTCACGTTCAAATAAAAACAACAGAATACAGATTACAGACAAAACCAATATGACACCACAAGAATTTATATTTACATCTTAAATTGTATTTTTTTCCAATCAACGTATGTTTTGTAATGTACTCAGGAACTGTAGATAGATCCGAATAAAAGTCGAAACGTCGGCAAAAAAAAAGAAAAGGGCGTTTTTCTAAAATACTTCATTTTTCGCACCTCACTACTTCAACAAATTATTAAACATTAAAGTTCACACATTTTCATATAGTAAACCCTAGTATTTTTAGGCTGGAAAGCAAATCATTAATAAATAAATCCATATTTGTTTCGTAGTCATAATTGAACATATTAATTATTCCTTTTATCTAAGGTTTTTGGTTAAGATGAAAAATTACTGTCACGAGCGGGATTCGAACCGACTTTCGGCTGGGTAGGTTCGAATCCCGTTCATCTACTAATTTATCATCTTAACCAAAAACCTTAGATAAAAGGAATAATTAATATGTTCAATTATGTCTACGAAACAAATGGATTTATTTATTAATGATTTGCTTTAAGCCTAAAAAATACTAGTGTAAAAAGAATAATTTTTTTTACTGTGGCTTCATCATTACGATATCATGCCAATTGAATTAAATGACTAATTAATTGGATTAATAAATAATTTAAATGAAAGAAGGGGGCAAAGATCCACTTTGAGGAACGCCTGAAATTATGATTGTAGAAGACAGAAAATTTAGACATTACCAGTCTAAGAAATACAACCAAAGTAATATATCCATTGTTAAATCAAGTTTTTTAAGTTTATTTATTATGAAGTCACAATAGCACAAGTGGTTAGAGCAGCGGCGTATTGAGCCAAAGGTCTTTTTTTTTTCTTCTTCCGAGGGTTCACAACAGCAGAATTTAAATCAACCCTCGGGGTGCCGGTTTTTTTGAAAAAAAATTGTAAATATCTCGAGTTTGAATGCAGGCCGCTGGATTCGAACCCGGGACCTATATCTTACAGTGATGAGCGCCGTGTCAAAGCCTAAACCGTACGCCCCCCCCCCATTTATGGTCGTGGGTTCGAATCCCGCTTGTGACACTAACTTTTTCATCTCAACCATGACCTTACATAAAAAAAGATTAATTAAGTGAAATAATTAAAATGGTCAATTAGACCATTAAACAATGATTCATTTATTATGTATTATGATTAACTGTGTCAAACTTCTATGAAAAAACAGACTATACATCAATCAGCCTATCCATTGTTAAAAACTTGCGGTATATCACTTTGAAATCAATAATTTAATTTTTTGCTTATTTTAAGGTAAATCCAAAAAAAATATTAGTTTTTATAAATAGGATTTATACTTAGAACTAGAAAGTTTTTGTTTCTTGATGGGATATTGTTTTAAAGGCGATGTGGTAAAAGCCCAAAAAGGAAACCAAACCGACAGTTATGTATAACTTAAAATTATAAACAAAAACGAGCTTACTGATACTAGAAGTCCATAATTATCGGTACGAAGTTCAAGGAAAAATGCTTATTGCTTGCTGTTGATGGCGGTTTGAAGGATTCTTTGAAGGGTGGCTGATTGGAGGGGAAGTTTATTGCGTTGCGGGGTGCTGCCCGCCGGCCGTCGGCCAATGGGAAAAAGCCTATTCAAACAGCCCCACCAGTCGGAGCTGCCCGTTCCGGCCCACCCCTCTGCCGCCGGCACGCTGCGCCATTTCTTTCTCGCCCTTTGTTCTACATCTGCAAAGGTCTTTTACAACCTTTCTTCACTGTCCGAGATTGATGATTGATGCTGTCTCTTGAGGTGAGTTTTTTCGACGATTCCGTCCTCTTTTTGTTCATATTCTTCGCCGACTTCAACTTGCAATAATTAGTAAACAAACTTAAAAGTCTTTCTATCATGGCTCCGGCTTTTGAATGTTGAGCCGGTGTCGTATGGATTTTATTGTGCCAGAGAGATTTTATTTTACCTCTTGACTATCTAAATTACTAATACATAATTTGATTTAGTACAGCGTCCAAGAACTAATTCGTTCAGTGTTTTCTATTTACATAGAACGCAGTTTTGTTCCTTGTTCTGAAGGTCTCAAGACACTCCTTCCCTTGTAGACATGTTTCTCGGCAGTTTGCTGCAAGTGTTACGATTTGGCGGACTTAACAGTGCACATGCTGTATACAAAGTCACTACGTTTGTTGCTTGCTCTGAAGGTCTCGGAACATCACTTCCTTTATAGACATGTAGCTTGGATGATGGAACACAACATAGTCACAACCTTTTGTCGCTTCCTTTTGCCTTCCATGCAGACTTCCAGCTTGGCAGATGTAGCTGTACCACATTATATAGACAAAACCTTGCTGCTTGCTTTGTAAGTCTCAGATCAGTAACACTGCGTACATAGTCACAACCTTTTGTTGCTTCCTTTTGTCTTCCAGTGTAGACTTGTAACTTGGCAGTCTGCTGTAAATGTTACGATTTGACAGACTAAATAATACCACCCTATACACAAATTCACAACTTTTGTTCTTGTTCTGAAGGTCTCGGAAAATCACTTCCTTTATAGACAGTAGCTTGGATGATGAGACAATAACTACATACATAGATACAACCTTTTGTTGCTCCCTTTTGCCTTCCAGTATAGACTTGTAGCTTGGCAGTCTGCTGTAAATCTTATGATTCCGCAGACTGAACAATACACATTCTGTAAACAAAGTCATTGCCTTTGTTACTTGCTATGAAGGTCTTGCAACATCCCTTTCTGTATAGACATGTAGCTTAGCTGATGGGACAATAACATTACATACATAGTTATTCAGATATCGTGAGATGCGGTCGGGTGTGATGTAGGTTTCAGAAAAACATTTTCTTTATCGTTCCAACGTTTCGATTTTTATTGAGATCATCTTCAGGGCTCAGTGTTTGTTTTCTGCGTAATTGCACCATTCTTGTGAATATCTCACTGGCACTCTCTACACGACACGCAAGAATGGCACAATTACACAGAAGACAAACTCTTTGGGCCCTGAAGATGATCTCAATAAAAGATCGAAATGTTGGCACGATAAAGAAATGTTTTTCTGAAACCTACATCACACCCGACTGCATCTCACGATATCTGAATAACTATCGATTAACGGTGACTAATCTCTACACATTACATACATAGTTACTACCTTTTGTTGCTCCTTATGCCTTGCACTATAGACTGGTAGCTTGGCAGTGTGTTGTAAATCATAACGATTTGGCAGACTAAATAATACCACCCTATACACAAAGTCAACTTTTGTTGCTTATATATGTATTATGCAGGGTGGGCGACCAAGACCCGAGGGGTTAAATGCCTGGGTAGACTTGTACCCCATCCCTAAAAGGTCCGGGACTTGGTCGGCTCATGTGTCCTGCATAAACCTCTTGGACTTGTTCACAAACCCCAAGATTTTGGACCATTTTATCTCGGGGAGTGATTTGGTGATGTCCTCTCCTTCAAAGATTTCAAATCTAAACCTAGCATACCTATCACATTCTGCGAGGTAGTGCTTTGCCGTTTCTTCTTTTATTTCGCCGAAGCGGCAAAAGGGATCTGGTAGGATACCCATTACGAAGAGGTGTCTTCTCAGTGTGCAGTGGCCCGTCAGAATTCCTATCAGCCTCCTAATTCCCTTCCTTGAGATAGAGAATAGCCATTTCGATTCAGCTGGTTTGATCGCCATAACAAACTCTTTCGATTGCCTGTGTCCGGGGGATAAATTCCACTCCCTAAGGAATTGTTTCATGCCCCAGTTATTGATACTCTCTTTAGCTGTGCTCATAGAGTGAGGTAATACCGGTTGTGGCCCGACAAACGCAGTATTAGAACCTTCTTTGGCTAGGCCATCCGCCTTTTCATTGCCATGGTGTCCTTTATGTGCTGTTATCCAAATAATGGTTACCTTGTTCTCAAACCTGAAAGAGATCCTATTGATAAGATCCTCCACCAGTCGTGAGGTTGACAAATCTTTTTGTAATGCCCTAAGACTAGCCTGACTGTCAGAAAAGATTTTAATATCTTTTCCCATAATTTTATTTTCCATAAGTGTTCTACAACACACATTGATGGCCCAGATTTCCGCCTGAAAAACGGAGGTGTTATTGCCAAGAGGGGAGGAGATGCTGATTCCTAATTTTGGTAGATTCCTGCACCACTCCCTCTACCCTTGATAAGTGAACCATTTGTAGCAGTCTATGTTACGATGGTCATCATACAGACTATAATCATAATCACAAGGGGTGACTACCTGAAAGTGCTTTTTCCCCGAAGGGGCTTTAATCTTTTTATCACTAACGCTTAATAATTGACCGTTAACCTTACTCAATAGTTGAGAGATTTTCGAGTGACCTATCTTATTGCACTTATGATTCCAGCTACCCTCGCTAATTAATCTGTAGCAGCTGATTAGTGCTCTGACCTTAACCTCAATGTGAAGTGGTGTGGTATTGGTTATGATTTCAAGTGCGAGGGTGGGTGTAGTTGAAAATGCTCCTGTCATCATCAAACAACCTAGTCTTGGAAATGACCTTAATTTGTTACTATTCCCTTTATTTTTTAGACCTTTCCACCACACTAAAGCTGCGAAAAAGAATCTAGATAGAATAATTGCAGTATATAGCCATTTGGCTACTCATGGTTTGATGCCCCATGTTTTATCGACAATTCTCCTACATTGTACCATTGATATGGTGCCTTTCCTGTATATGTTATTAATATGAACTTTCCAATCAAGTTTCCTGTCAAGTGTCACACCAAGGAATTTGATTGAATCCACTAATTTAATTCTATGCCCTGACATTTAGGGTTTTTAAAATTGCCTATGTTCTTTTCCTGCTAAACATTATCAATTCTAGTTTAGCAGGATTAATTGATAAACCTTTGTCACAACACCATCCATAAAGTAATCCCATGGTGTTTTCCATCAGCAGTGAAAGAGTCAGGGGATCCCTACCTGTGAGCATTATGGTACCATCATCTGAAAATAATTGACTTTAGAAGCCTGAATTATTCAGAAGTTCTATTAAGCTGTTTACTGTAATTAGCCATAAAAGAGGTGACAAACAGCCTCCCTGTGGACAGCTTCCTTTTACATTAATTCTAAGAGTGCTACCACCTAAGCACATATTGACCATCCTCCCCTCCAATCTTCACCCATCTAGTAAAGTGATGGTCGACATTGTAATTATCTAATGCTGATATAATGCATGAAGTATCAGCATTATCAAACACCCCTTGGATATCCAAAAAGCAACCTAGTTTATATTCATTATTAAATAATGATTTCTCGATCCTGCCTATTAGTGAGTGCAAGGCAGTTTCCACTGATTTTCCTGGTAAGAAGGCATGCTGATTGGGATGTATCATGTATTAATTCCACAATCTTGCCTAATATGTCTATCTAAAATTTTCTCTATAATTTTTATGAAAATAGAAGATATACTTATTTAGGTAATTGATATGAGACCTTACCTGGTTTGGGTAAGAAAATTACCCTTATTTCCTTCCAGCATTTTGGTATATGTCCCAATGCCAGACTACTCCTTAGGAGATCCCTTTCTTTTCTAGACTAGGTGTATCCTGTTGAAGGAGGGCAGGGAATATTCCATCCACCCCGGCTGCCTTGTATTTCTTGAAGGAATGTGCCGCCCATTTATAGGCCTCCCAGGAAATTACCTCATTGGCCTTATTCCAGTTTGGTGTTGGTAGTTCAACCTCAGTTGGGATAATAGAACAGTTTGACCTGGGGAAATGAATTCTAGCCATCAGGTTCAGGGTCTCCTTGCAGGATGTAGTGTACACTCCATTATCATCCTGTAATAAACCTAATTGATTAATATAATCCTTTTCCAGAAGTTTTGTTGCTTGCTCTGAAGGTCTCGGAAAATCACTTCATTTACAGACATGGATGATGGGACAATAACACTACATACATAGTTACCTTTTATTGTTTCCTTTTGCTTTCCTGTATCGATGATGACCATGATGTCGCTACCTTCTTGCTTGCTATGAAGGTCTTGGAACACCCCTTTCTGTACAGAGATGTAGCTTGGCAGACTGAGCAGTAACACTATACATGCTCTCAACTTTTTATTGCTTTCTTTTTCCTTCCAGTATAGACATGCTTGGCAGTCTGTATTAAATGTTATAATTTGTTAGACTGAACAGTACACATCCTGTATGCAAAGTAACTAACTTCGGTGCTTTCTCTGAAGGTCTTGGAACATCCCTGCCTTTATCGAGATGTACCTTGGCAGACAAAACAGTTACACTACATACATAGTCACAACCTTTTGTTTCTTCCTTTTCCCTTCCAGTATAGACATTAGTTTGGCAGTCTGCCGTAAATGTTATAATTCAGCAGTCTGAACAGTACGCATCCTGCATACAGTCACTATGTTCATTGCTTGCTCTGAAGGTCTTGGAAAAACCCTTCCTTTATAGACATGTAGCTTAGCTGATGGAACAATAACACCTCATAGATAGTCACAACCTTTTGTTGCTTCCTTTTACCTTCCAGTGTAGACTTACAGCTTGGCTGATGGAGCTATATCACATTATATAGTCAAAACCTTGTTGCTTTGTAGGTTCCAGATCAGTAACACTACGTACATAGTCACAACCTTTTGTTGCTTCCTTTTGCCTTCCAGTGTAGACTTGTAGCTTGGCAGTCAGCTGTAAACGTTATGATTTGGCAGATTAAACAATACCATCTTATATACAAAGTCACTACCTTTGCTGCTTAATCTGAATGTCTCAGAACATCACTTCCTTTATAGACATGTAGCTTGGTAGACAGAATAGTAACACTAGATACATAGTCACAACCTTTTGTTGCTTGCTCTATAGGTCTCAGAAAATTGCTTCCTGTATAGACATTTAGCTTTGCAGACAGAACAGTCGCTTTATGTAGTCAAAATGTTTTGTTCCTTGCTCTGTAGATCCAAGAACATTCTTCTTACATAGACATATACCTTGGCTGATGGAATAGTACCAGCTGTAGTAATATGAAAAGCATAAAGTTTTTTCTAGTTTACTCCTGAGACTATCTCTAAACGTTGACACTTTCCCAAATTAAGCCTGAACTACTCCAGAATATATAGATTGCACTTTTGTGTCTTTTTGATGTTTTTTCCACCATCCCTTGATGAAATATTTCAGTAATTTGTTTGTATGATTTATAATATGTTGCTTTATTTTAGCTTTCTATGTAAAAATTGTGATTTTCTTGTATCAATTCGATTGCAACATCAATTAAAAATATGGATAGGAGTATGGTGTTCCTCAACAACAATTACCTAAAGTCTAAAGATGACGCCATTAGTCCAATGGATCTACCATTCAATTCAAAATTTGAGTTAAACCAAAAGAAGAACCAACGTTTGCTCTTGGGGAAACAGCCAAAATACGAAACATACCAGGAGAATGGACAAAGAAGGTATGGCGGGCCCCCAAAAGGTTGGGTCGGTGGTCCTCCTCCAAAGGGAACGGAAGTAAGTGATCGTGAAATTGTGCAAATCTTTTGAATTTTTTTTAGCTCAACGTATAATAAAATTAAAACAAAACTTTTTCCTAATAAATTTATTTGTTGATTCATTCACAATAGATTAATTAGTACAGTTCAACACATATTTCAACAATACTTTTTCACATATTCAACACATACAGTTCAACAATACTTCATAAACTCGAAATGTTATAATAATAATATTCACTAATTTCGTGGCCCGCTTGACCAATTAAATCATAACAATTAATTAAGGTTTTTAGTTGAGATGAAAAAAGCTAATGGCACAAGAGGGATTCGAACCCACGACCTTTAAAAAATGGCAAAAGGAGGGAAAACTCATAAGGTGGGGTTGAGATGGGGGAGTTGATGTCCGAGCGGATCGTGGTCACGATAGCTCAGGTGGTAGAGCAGCGGTGTATCTAGCCGAAGGTCGTGGGTTCGAATCCCTCTTGTGCCATTAGCTTTTTTTCATCTCAACTAAAAACCTTAATTAATTGTAATGTTATTATAATTTTATTATATTAATAATTATATAAAATAACATTTTTTTAAACCCTCTCAAGCCCATTGGATGCCATTTGGTATCAGGCCCTCAGTCTTGTCCCATGCACCGTGAAGGCTGGTTGGTAGTCTTCCGCTGACCAACCTCTATAGTTTGCTGCTGCTGTAGGCTGATAGTATTAATTTTATAAACAATAAAAGCATAGATAAGCACACAAAACTTTCAGTTCAATAAATTAATTATTTAATCATTACAAAAATATAATTGTATAAGTATAATGATTAAAATATACTGAAGTGTGTACAATTTCATTTATCAACCAAAAATTCATTTTTTATATCTAAAAAGTAAATTATTTTAGTCCTTTTAACAAATTATGTAATGTCATGTAAAACTGGATTACCTGTTCAATTTATTTTTGATAAAGTATAGACATAAGTTGTACTTAAGAGACATGTACTTGTCAATTTTTCTGAAAACTTCATATTGCATTGTTAGCTTTGATAATACAATGATTACAGGTTTTTGTTAATCGATTGCCGAGAGATTGCATGGAAGATGAAATAATACCTATATTTGAATCAGTCGGCCAGATTTACTGTTTGAGACTTATGATGGATTTTTCCGGTACCAATCGAGGATTTTGTTTTGTACAATACACTTCACTGGAGAATGCCAAGTCGGCTGTTTCGAAATTGAGCGGTCATGAAATACGCCCTGGACGAAAGATCACTGTCACAAAATCAGTTGACAACTGTCGTTTGTTTATTGGTTTGTTTTTATTTTTAAATCGGTAATTTATATTTGAAAAACAAAACAAAAAAAATTTGACTCCAGGGCATATTCCAAAAGAACTTGACACAGATGCAATCAAAACAACTATCTGCAGATACACAGCAGGTCTTGCAAACGTGATCTTGTACCTTTCACCGACAGATAAAAAGATGAACCGGGGATTTTGTTTTGTTGAGTATGAGGACCATAGGTCTGCTGCGATGGCAAGACGCCATTTGTTAAGCACAGGAATACCAGAATGGAATTCTGACGTCATGATTGATTGGGCTACACCTGAAGAAGAAGTTGAACCTCACATCATGGAAAGGGTGATTTTTTCGTACTTATAACTAACCAAACTAATCCGCTAGTGTTCCTCACAAGTAATGGGTATAGACAGTCTCATGTAAAACAATCAATGGTCAGTAATAAAAAGTTAAAAGTTAAATTATTTTTGACAACACTGTAATAATTCAATAAAACTCGTTAATACTCTATTAGAAACATTTTTGCCATAATACACTCAAGACAAAAACCAGACACTTGCATTAATTTATTTTCCATACGTACTAAGTAAAAATATTAAAAGTTGACTTAGAATGTAAATATAACATTAATTATTGTTTACCTTTATAGAGCGTTACTAATCCTTTTTTCACTTTTTAGATTAAAAAATAAAGAAAACTTTCATCCTTTCCAGAGCTAATTTAATTTGTGTGTTCATTGATTTTTAAGTTGTATCCTTGGATGATAAATTTTGTTTTTCTTAAAATCATGGTTTTAACAAAACATGGTGTGCACAACTGTTTGAAGCCAAGCGCACGCCACGTACAGTCACATAACGTATATCACTAACACAACAGTTGTTCTTAATGCAGTTTTGAGCTAAACCATGTAATAAATTGTTAGTTCAATTTTATGAGCACAACCATATAATAAATTGTTAGTTCAATTTGTTTGAAATGAAGTTATTCCGGTGTTTTGATAAATTTTCTGCCTAACCATCATAATTAAATAATTTTTATAAAAACTCGTGAATTTTTGACTGTTTAATTTTGTTTAAATTACAATAAGCATGTTGCAATCAATATAACGACAAAATTACATATACATAGTTTGAAATAAACTACAAGGGGCATCGGTGGCCGCAAGGTTTAGTTGTTGACACGGCGCTCATCACTGTAAGGTAAAGGTCCCGGGTTCGAATCCAGCGGCCCTGCATTCGAACCCGACATACTTACAAATCGTTTTTTTTTTTTTTTTTTTTTTTTTTTTTTTTTTTTTTTTTTTTTTTTTTTTTTTTTCCCCAAAAAAAAACACCGGCACCCTGAGGGTTTATATGACCTCTGCTGTTGCGAACCCTCCTAAAAAAAAAAAAAAAAATGAGTGTGCATCTGATGCTACTTGACGAAAATGGTGTAATTTTATTAGCAAAACCATGAAATAAATTGTTAGTTAAATTTTATCAGCAATTCCATCTGATAAATTTTTTGTTAAATTTATGAGCAAAACCATGTAATAAATTGTTGGTTATTTTATGAACAAAACTATGAAATAAATTGTTGGTAACCATGAAATAAATTTTTGGTTAAATTTTAGGGGCAAAATGACGAAATAAATTGTTGGTTAAATTTTATGAGTAAAACCATGTAATAAATTGGTTAAATTTTATTAGCAAAACATGAAATAAATTGTTGGTTAAATTTTATAGGCAAAAAGACGAAATAAATTTTAGTTAAATTTTATGAGCAAAACATTGTAATAAATTGTTAGTTAAATTTTATCAGCTATTCCATGTAATAAATTTTTGGTTAAATTTTATGGGCAAAAAGACGAAATAAATTGTTGGTTAAATTTTATAAGCAAAACCATGTAATAAATTGGTTAAATTTTATTAGGAAAACCATGAAATAAATTTTTGGTTAAATTTTATTAGCAAAACCATGAAATAAATTTTTGGTTAAATTTTATGGGCAAAACAATGAAATAAATTGTTAGTTAAATTTTATCAGCAATTCCATGTAATAAATTTTTGGTTAAATTTTATGAGCAAAGCGATGAAATAAATTATTGGTTAAATTCATTCTATCAATAAATGATACGGAGGTGTCTGTGGGCGCAATGGTTCAGGCATTGACACAGCGCTCATCACTGTGAGGTACTGGGTTCGAATCCAGCGGCCCTGCATTCGAACCCAACATACTTACAAAGGGTTTTTCCCCCCTCAAAAACACCGGCACCCTGAGGGGCTTATATGACCTCTGCTGTTGCGAACCCTCGTTAAAAAAAAAAAAAAAAAAAAAAAAAAAAATCAATAGTTATTCAGATATCATGAGATGTGGTCGGGTGTGATTAGGTTTCAGAAAAACATTTTCTTTATCGTGCCAACGTTTCGATCTTTTATTGAGATCATCTTCAGGGCTCAAAGTGTTTGTCTTCTGTGTAATTGTGCCATCCTTGCGTGTCGTGTGAGTTGGCACGATAAAGAAAATGTTTTTCTGAAACCTAATCACACTCGACCGCATCTCACGATATCTGAATAACTATCGATTAACAGTCCCTTATCTCTACACACACACACACACAAAAAAAAATCAATGATTGATTGTTGATCAATTTTCTGTCAAACCATTAAAATTCATTTTTTTTAAATAAAAACATGAATTTTTGTTTAATTTAGTTTATATTAAAAAAAGTATGTTGTAATTTATATAATGACAACAGTATATACAGTTTGAAAAAAAAAAAAAGTGAGTGTCCGGTTCTTTTGTCTTCGACTCTACTCGATGCTACTCGACGAAAATCTGGATAGTCGGGTACTTGCTCATTTTGAAGCGTAGAGCAGGGTAGCGTTGCGTGGCATCAAGATGTGCAGTGGGGTAATACAATCTTATGGAAAATTGGACATTGGATTTGCATCGGGTGGCTTCTGGTCACATCGGGTTGCGTTGCGTCAAGTGTGTTCCCCGCTTTATTCTCTACCCAAAATTATGTGATTTTGAACCATTTAATTATTTTCAAATGCCAATTAACTCTTGACTTCCCCCCTCTTCTTCTAAGGGCGATATTTCATTAAAACCTCAGTGTGTGAGGGATTCCATCCCGTCAGAAGAAAAACAGCAATTTCTGTCATGATAAAAAAAATAAATAAATAAAATAAAATCTGGTAAGCACATTGGGCTAAATCATCGCGTGTCACTATGTGTACATTCTACTTTGAACTTCAGTATTTCAGTAACTTGCATTAGAAAACGCTTCATGTGTACCCTTAATAACTTTTGATGGGATAAGTTTACGTAAATGATCTGAAATGATGATTTTTTTCCACCACTCAGAATTAGTTAACCAAACAATATCACTTACATGCTGCATGTATTTTTGTTTGTAGGTTACAATAATGTATGTGAGGAATATGATGTTGAAGACTACAGAAAAAACAATTAAGGAAGCTCTTCTTAATTTTGTTAAACCTGAAGATATCAAAAGGGTTAGAAAAATGAAAGATTTTGCTTTTGTCCACTTCACCAGCCGTGAAGTTGCACAAATTGCTATAAATAAGTTCAATGGTAAGTGCAATATTTTGAGAGTGTGTTTTAGAAATACTATGCATATGTAGTTCTTATACGACACAAACGTGCATTTTTTCTGTCTAAAATAATAATATGCTAGTATAAAATTAATTTTTTAATCAAAATGCATTGAATTACTAATTATTATACATACTTGTATTATTTATAGGATTTATTTTGGAAGGCGCCAAAGTGGAAGCAACATGGGCCAAACCAATCAAAACAAAAAAAGATGTGAGTTAATAAAATTTGTCATCACTTCACTTTTGTAATAAAAAAATTTTTAAACAAATATTTATTGCAGGACCTAAATTGTATAAAATGGAAACGTTCAGAACACAGTTTATTGTAAATATCTAGCTTTATTGTTTTATAACTTTAAAAGGAAATATGTAATAGTGCTTGTTCTTCAGGGATGCAATGACTTATTCAGATGAGCCATTTCCTCAATGGTTTCCCCAGTACGCATGGCCAGCAATCAATACATGGACGTTGTCTTCACCCGCCAACTCACCATTGTCTCTATCTTCAGGTATTAATTTTATTTTAACATTATTTTTTTTTGCAATGCGTTTAAACATTAAAATTTAACATGGGGGTAATTATAAAAATATTAAATTCTCTAATTTTGTGGCCTGCTTGAATTAATATATTACAATTAATTAAGGTTTTTAGTTGAGATAAAAAAGTCAATGGCACGAGCAGGATTCAAACCCACGATCTTCGCTCAAGTGGTAGAGCAGCGGCATATCATAGAGAAGCGGTTTAAATCCCGCTTGTGCCATTGACTTTTTATCTCAACTAAAAACCTTAATTAATTGTAATATAAAAATATTGTTTGTATGTATTGTGTTTCATTCAACATGAAAAGAGTAAAGGTTTGCTTCATAGAAAAACATTGAATTGTGAGTATTAGGCCTAGTACGCACTGGGAGTTTTTGAGTCGAATCTTTGAATCTCCAGAGAGTCTCGGCTGCATCTCGCCTGAGCCCGGGCTGCCTCATTGTTGCGATGAATCTGATGTGTTGCGGGCTAGCATTTTCGAACTCTTTTGAATCCCATCTGATGTGGGATTCTTTGACACTCAATGTTGCGCAACATTTGCCAACTCTTGCTTGTTTAGTTGACGTAGTGTGTTTTCTTTAAGATTTTGACAGTGACTTGTATAAAGGTATGTTGTGAAGTACCAAGCACACTTCTGGAACAAAATCTGATATTGATTGTTTTGAAATCCTGAAGGTGTACATGAGGCTTGGAGTCTCCACTCACTAGGAACTGGAAAGTGGCAGCTAATATGTTGGCCGGAGAGATAAATTCCTAAAAGTTGGTATCATTCTTGGAAATTTTACTGCCAACTTTCATTAATAAAATGGTTTCGAAATCGGTCAGGGGCACCCTCAAGAAATTTCTGAACCCTGCGCCATCATTTAATCTCAATGTGTTCAAAAGATTTTTCCCGTGCTGAGTCCCGCTGTGAAATATTTTTCGAACCCACCATCTTTTTGGGCGATTTTTAATGCAGCTCCGATTGGATTCACTACGTACAATAAAAAAAAAGAGCAAGGGAAATTCCTGAGAGAGCTAGTTCTTCCGTTCTTTGTCGCGGAGACGAGTCAGGGCTGCATCACAACAATGAATCGATTCAAAGAATCTCAATGCGTAGTAGGCTTTAGAGATGGGAAAACTGCTGTTTTTAACCTTTTAGCGCAGCATTACTAGGTGTTTGGTGCGGGTGCGAGCTGGGTAGATTGACTCTTGAGCCATCTTTGTGTAATTTTTTGGGGTTGATTGATTAAAAAGAAAAAATTAACAACCCGCAATTGTATTACCTTTTCGTGTGAAGGAGTGAATAAAATTAAAATAAAAAATAAAAATATTTTTATAAAATTGATCCATATATGTACAGCAATCATAATCGACCAAATTAATTATTTCAGTTAATTATTCTTTTCATCTAACTCGGCCATAAACATTGTAATTTCTTTTAATCGGGAAAAACCTGTAAATAAATGAGAGCTAGAGTAATGCTCAAACTGGTAAGTGGGATTGCGGATCGTTGAAACTTAAATGGGGTGGTCACTTATCAAGTTATTTAGCGGTGGTAAAGACAAAATTTAAAATTGCAATTCATGAAGGGTTGGCATCAGAGTGGTGTTGATATGAGCTAGATCTGTGCGGCTCATCACTCGCTTAGTAGAGGGAGTTGACTGTAGATCAGCTTACAAGGCCATATCTAGATTATACTGGTGATTTTAACGCCCACTTCCTATTTTACAAGTGTACAGTCTAAAAATATATGCATGATTCAATGTTTTTTATGTGAAGCTAAGAAAATATGTGTATGTAGTAAAAGTTTTGGCCTGGATTTTAGATTTATTAATTAAAATCATTTAATTATTGTTACAGACTGTCGACTTGGTTTTACAGGGGAATTGGATAGGTAATTGAATGGCAATATGCATTTATTAATGTTCTTCCTCAGGTGTATTAATAGAAATAATATTTTTTTGATACTAGAGATAACACGTTGAATCTGCCTGGTTTTGAGGATAAACCTGCGCTTCAAAGTCTAGCATGTAGAATCCTTTCAGAGTGCCCTCCTGCTATGGTAAATATACTGCAGGATGAAACAATTATTTAGAAAATTACCTAAATTTTCTTTTAGGCTCTTCAACATCTGGCCAATTTTCTACGATGGGGGGAAGTATGTTTCGGCGTCTACCAAATGACACCCCAATCCTTTACTGCTCAGGTGAGATTTTTTTTAAAATTTATTTTCATGAGTGGACCATTCAGGACTATGAGTGAGATATCGCACTTTTGCGTTCATCAGTGAAGTACTAAGAGAGCATGAAATGAATGAGATAGTGCGAGTGTGAAATCTAGTCTCTTCCCTTTTTGACTAAAGTTGTAAGAAGATGCCGACGGACCCTCAGCTAGTAGATCCTGCGATCATAGGTTTGATTCCCACCATCGATACTATACTTTTTTCCTGATCTTAAGGAGGCTGTCTGATGGCTGCAGTGAAAACTCAAGTCTGGGGATGGGTCGGATCTCAGTGACCCTAAATTTAGTCTCAACCCCCTTTAAAAGATGAGTTTCATGCTTAAATAGGTGTTTTTTTTTGTTTAGGTGTTTTAAAATTTCCCATTAGCACTAAAAATAACTAAATTCACTAATTTCGTGGTCCGCTTGACCAATTATTATATTACAATTAATTAAGGTTTTTAGTTGAGATAAAAAAGTCAATGACATGAGCGTTTGAAAAATGGCAAAAAGGAGGGAAAATTCAGAAGGTGTGGTTGAGATTGTTGGTGTCCGAATGGATCGAGGTCACGATAGCTCAAGTGGTAGAGCAGCGGTGTATCAAGCCGAAGATTGTGGGTTTGAATCCCGCTCGTGGCATTGACTTTTTTATCTCAACTAAAAATCTTAATTAATTGTAATATATTAATTGGTCAAGCGGACCACGAAATTAGTGAATTTAATGATTTAAAATGAAGTATACTTCACTAAAGCTCTCCGTGGCCATTTCATTTGTCGCCGAGAATCCAATCCGATTACACGACATTTGAAAAATGGCAAAAAGGAGGGAAAATTCAAAAGGTGGGGTTGAGATGGGAAGTTAGTGTCCGAGTGGATCGAGGTCACGATAGCTCAAGTGGTAGAGCAGCGGCGTATCAAGCCGAAGATCGTGGGTTCGAATCCCGCTCATGCCATTGACTTTTTTATCTCAACTAAAAACCTTAATTAATTGTACTAAAAATAACTTGAACAGCACTTCTTTCATGAACTGGAATCTAAAAGTGAAGAGAGTATAGCGTGATATCACCATTGGTATTGAGAGCATATCAGACTCACTGAACTATCTTTTAATGTTTTTCCTTACAGATTTTCATCACAAGACATGGGCAACCACTTTTCACATCTCCGAATCCGTATTTAAACCCTGCTGCTCAAACGCCAGAAGAGGCAAAGAATTTAACCGCTAAAATATTTTTCTCTGTGTTTATTTTTTCTTAAATTGTTCTATTTGTATTTAATTATTTCGACATTCTAAATGTCCACTTTTCCACTTTGTTCCTTTATTTCTAGTAATTAAAAAGAAAATATTTTTTTATTAAATAAAATTTTTTCAGCAAGTACATTTTGGCTCTGATTTATTAATGGGCTTGTGCAAAAATAAAATGCAGGTTTTGAAAAGTCAGTCAAAACTATTTTTAATTTTTATAAAAATAAAGAAAATTTATTCAAAATACTTTCCTTCGCAATCTATATACCTTTGCTAGCGTGTAATAAGTGCTTTTATTCCGCTGACATAAAAATATTTATTTCGATTCACAATAGTCTTGTAAGGCATTTTCGGCTTCACCGCACTCTAAAAATGTTATCCCTCAAGAAGTGATCAAAATGCCTAAAAAGGTGAATTTCTGATGAATATGGTGGTGTGGTAAGGTTTCTTATCCTAAGGCCTAGTACAAGGCGTTGAATCGCGTGATCAGGCTAACACGTGTTAGCGAAATACCAAGGAGGTAACGAAAGCGGACACAGTAACACGAGCTTTTGCTCAACAGGCGCTCCATTGTGCGATTTCAAGTTTCCCCAACTAACGCACGATTGACCAACGTCTCGAGGTACCTACATCCTAGTACGACTGTTCAGTTGAACACGATTTCCAAGTGATTACGGAAAAGACGGATATTTTTGATTTTAATCTCCTGATCGACGAAATAGAAAAAAGATGGCTATATGGAATGTCGTGTTCCCGATTACAAAAATAGAACCTTAAAGAGGTCTTCTTGGGAGGAGCTTGTTCTATTCAGAAATGCAGATGACTCGACAGAAAAAAAAAATGATGGGTAAGTGCCAAGTTCAATTATATATTAGTATATTATTAATACAATATGTAAGCAAATAACAAAGACAAAATATCTTATATATTACGTACTTTAATCATTGAGTAATTGGTTATACATATATTCAAGAATTTAGGTGGTAGGATTTTAGGTTGCGTACATTCATACCATTCGGTCTTGCCATGATAATTTCCCTTCGTTCAGAAAATAATCGGCTGAACCCAGTTCACATGACACCACGACTGGTAACTCCAGCATACCAGTTCAACTATCACTAGTGATGTCAGCTCATCATGAATACACGTTTTTCACATGCGAGTAGTTCAGAGGTTGTTTCACCGTTGAGCAGTGCAGCATGATTCGGAAGTTTTTGAAACTTTAATATTCATATACTGTCTTAATTGCATTTTTGATATTTCCTACAATCTTGTTCTACAATGTTAACCTTTTCTATTTATACCATTATTTAAAAAAAAAAAAGAAAAAAAATTAAATAAACACCGAGTTTTTCTTCTGCCGAGATGGATTCCCTCATAAGTTGAAATGATGATGAAATATCGCATTTTATCAAGAACAACAAATTGTCAAAAAAAGTTAACTGACAGTCTAAAATAATTGAGAAATTTTGGGTCATATTAACACAACTTTGGATAGAGGTGTGACCGTTAATCGATATTTATTAAGAAATCGTGAGATGCGGCGGTCTGGTGTGATGAAGTTGGCACAATAAAGAAAATGTTTTTCTGAAACCTACATCACACCAGACCGCATCTCACGATTTCTAAATAAATTTGGATAGAGGGTTGTGAACATACTGTGTGTGAATTTATCTCTCAAACTAGAATGAATCCAATACTGCCTTTGTCTTAATTTTTAACGACAGTAGAGATACCATAAACAAACTACTTCGACTTCCATTATGATACTGAACCAAAAACATGAGTTCAAGTGTAACAATGTGTACGCTGCAAGCGCCTATTAACGTGCGGTTGATCGCGCGATTCAACGCCTTGTGTGTACTAGGCCTAAGGCTAGGTTCCTCAGGGTTAGGCATTGCGATGTGTGGCCTGGCATTAAGAAGAATCAGGCCCCTTATATACCAAAGCTAGACGAAGAGTTGCAGTTTCCTATGCATTTTGTCAATTTCTTGGCAGTATTTCTCTGCTGGGATAGATAATTCAGGAAATTATAATGGACAACCCCGACAGTACACCACCAAACCGTTTTGGGTGCAGTTTTGGTTTCAGGGAGTTTGGCACTTCCAATTTCAATTAATTAAGGTTTTTAGTTGAGATAAATTGAAATATATTAATTGGTCAAGCGGACCACGAAACTAGTGAATTTAATAAGTTTAAATGATGTATACCTTCACTAAAGCTCTCCGTGGCCATTTCATTTGTCACCGAGAATCAAATAGATTACACGACATTTGAAAAATGGCAAAAACGAGGGAAAATTAAAAAAAGGTGGGATTGAGATGGGAAGTCAGTGTCACGAGCGGATTGAAGTCAAGATAGCTCAAGTGGTAGAGCAGCGGCGTATCTAGCCGAAGATCATGGGCTCGAATCCCACTCGTGACACTGACTTTTTATCTCAACTAAAAACCTTAATTGAAAGTTAATTTTAAAGGTTTTGGTTACTTATATACAATGCAAGAGGTAAATTCTATTATTTTATGTATTTTGATATAAGTATAATGTACATTACATAATATAAAAATTAAATGGTTGGATTACAATAGGTGGGTAGACAAAATAAGGGCTTTTTTTAAAAGTAATTATTAATATTTGTTGACTCCTGTGATTATTTAAAACAAATTATTTATTTTAAAATGAAACAAATAAAAGTTGCTTCTAACATTACCACTGTAGAAATGGTAACATGTACTATTAAAATATTCACACACATACGGAAAAATAAAAAACTCCATTTGCAAAAATCATGAATTCGTTAAACTTGCGGAAAGGACCTAAAGGCTTTAAAATCTTCTACGCTGTCTGGCAAGTAAATCCTGATGATGTTGGCAGATGTACCATAAATAACCGCTATTTGCTGGTCTGTTATATCTTTCTGTTAAAAGATTTTTTGTTTTTAGATAAAACAAATGACAAAATAAAATAAATACAAACTTTAAGCCTCTCTTGACATTCCAAAAAGAGGGTCTTCAGCTGTTTGACAAATTCATCGACTCCACCTCTGAAACCTTCAATACGATCGAGCAACTTCATTTTCAAACCGTTTAATCTGTTTGGACCACTCTAAAAAAAAAAATCAAAGAATAAATATCTACATATTTTATTGTGAAATAACTGATTCAATTTACTGTCTGCGATGTGTAGAAAAAGCGATTAACGTTGCTTATCAAGATTTCAAGCAGAATTCTAGCACAGACCCTCAATTCTTGTATAGTCATCGGGAAGATGTATGGCTTTTTCAATGCGGCGACATTTTCACAAAGTATACAATTTAAAACTGGTACAACACGAGGCCTAAAGTTTTTTTTAAAAATATTTTAATTTTATTCTAAAATTATAAAATCGCATAATACATAAATGCAAATAAAATCTACTCACACTCGAAGATTTTTTTCAGTTGGGAAAAAGGAACAACTCCTATGATATGCTCTTTTACAGGTTTGGCAAAAATATGATACCTGTGATTTCCAACAAACAGCACATTTCAAGTCTAAAAAAAAAAAATAAAAACAACTTAAATTAAATGAGCTTACAAGGGAAGTATCTCAATTTGTCAATGTATGCAAGCCTAGAAAAAAGACTATTACTACATGTCAAAATCTCCTCCTTTCCAGACGCAGGCATCAAATGCGCCATGGAAATTTTAAAACATTTAAATCAATTTAGCACAAGGTATCAATAAAAACCAGACAGATCTGCAGTTGTGTTAAGGCAATGCAGTAAAGGGCTAACCACAGGGGGTTTTACTCCCTTCTCTGAACACTGATGTTTTTTTTTCTTTTTTTTCAACGTAATAATAATAATAGTAATGACATTAAAATGGGAACTACTTCATTGAAACTGCCAAGGAGAGCTAAGCAACCGAGTGACTTGTAAAGCTACACTGGACGAGCTCGAAGACATTCATTCATCATTCAAAGAGTGAACATTTTGCGATGATTTGACAAAAAACATGTAAATTTACCCTTAGTAGTATTAACAAGTTACAATTAATTAAGGTTTTTAATTGAGATAAAAAAAGTCAAAAATCAAATAGATTACACGACATTTGAAAAATGGCAAAAAGAGGGAAAATTCAAAAGGTGGAGTTGAGGTAGGAAGTTGGTGTCCGAGTGGATCGAGGTCATGAGAGCTCAAGTGGTAGAGCAGCGGCGTATCTAGCCGAAGATCGTGGGTTTGAATCCTGCTCATGCCATTAACTTTTTATCTCAACTAAAAACCTTAATTAATTGTAAAATATTACTTGGTCAAGCGGACCACGAAACTAGTGAATTTAATAATTATTAATAAGTTTAAGTTTCATACTTATTTCAGCCTGTGGGTTGAAGTCACCTAAGCTGTCTTGTGGATAAACCAAATAAGGAGATGGCGATGGCTGTGGAAGGGAAGATGGTATTTGAGGTTGGATTGACTCGGCAGGCTGGTACCATGTGGTTGGTGCTACATGTGGCATTGTTGGCATTAGATGATTGTGGTGTTCATACCGCGGTGGAGGTTGGAGTACTCTCAGCTTCGGGACATTTTTATTAGTTTTGAATTTTATTTATTTTCTATGAGTTTAATGGCCACTTACTTGATTTTGACTTAGAAACTGATACTCTTGAGTTTCTAAGAGATTCCTCAAAATTAAGCGTGAATCTTCTTGATGATCTTCTAAAAATTTAGTTATCAGTTTTTATTAATGATTTATGTTATGACAGTTGTTAAATAAAAATTAATAAAAATAGAATTAGAGTAAGCATACATAAGCTTTTTTTTATCAGCGATCAAACAATGATATAAAAATCACTTAAGCAATTACTTAAGCTAAAAAAGATGGTACATTTATTGCTTTTATATTGGATCCAAACCACTTTTGTGCAATTTTTATGAGTCCCCTCGACTGTCCTAGTACCAAATTAAAATTCATACAATAATCATGCAATTATTGGTTTTGAACATTGAACTGTTCAAGACCCTTTTTTTTATGAACTGTCATTACACCTAATCCTCCCATATACTGTACTTGTGTCTAGAAAAGTTCATTAACAGTATTAAAACTATAAAAAATGAAAAACCGCACAAACTTTTCTGGTCAACTATTATACTATGGTTTTATTGAAAATTTTGGTAATGCGTTACTGTTAAGAAAGAAAATAACTGTACTTAAGACTATTTAAATGTTATATCTATGTTACCTTTTATTAATGTGGAAGTTTGTACAGGCCTAATTTGTCCAATATGTTCATTAACTTGTGTGTTAGGTTGTGAAGAAGTTACATTTGGTTGAGTGTATATCTGTGTTGTAGGCGGCTGGGTCTGTTCAGGGTTGTTGAATTCTCCAAAATCCAGTGGCACTAAAAATATGTGTATGATACAATTCGAAATGACTATTTATATTTTATTTCTTACTTTCATCCCCTTGGAGCAATTTGAATATCTCATCTGGTATCTGATTCAGTGACTTAGACTGTTCTGATGTCAGAATTTCATTTGTAGGATTTTCTGTTTTGACAATACTCATGTCGATATCCTTATTTGTTTTGGCTGTTGCTTGATTGATACTTTTGTTTAACATTTCTTCTGCGTTATTTGGCACAAGTGACTGTTTTACTTGAGTGTTAAGAAGATTGTTAAGAATTGGAGTAGATTCGACATTTGTTTCCCCTGTACTTCGTGTAATAGACACTGAACCACCACTGGTTTTATTAATATTGACATAAGGTTCATTTATATTTTTATGATTTGTGCTATTTAAACAATCCTTGACATTTTGATTCATACTTGGAGAGATATTCCTATTGTTATTTGAATTTATTGAATTATTATCCACGCTATTCGGTCGAGAAGACGGACCATCACCTACATTTCTTGTTATGCTGACTGGCCCATTAAGAGGAATTTTATTGATCATCACTGGACTGTTTCTATGGATAAGCACTGAACCCTCAACAAAGTTACTGGCGGGTGCATTTTCCTGTTTTATAACAACTTTAATAGCGGGAAATTTTACTTCGTTCTGCTTGCTAATTGTAACTTCATCAGTTGGATTTCTACTAATATTAACAAATGCATCATTTGCATTTGTAATGTTATTTGAATTACCGTCCAAACTCTGTCTGCCTGTTGTTCCCTTGTTTCTATTGACAATTACAGGCCGATTTATAGCTATGGAGTTATCTACTAGATTTTTCAAAGCATTAACAGGAACTTTGCTCTTGTTTTGGTCCAAATTTGTAGAACTATTATTTCTGTTTATATTAACTGAGCCCAATCCGCTGTTCAAATTTGTTATGGCTCCCTTTGTATTTTTATTTATTTGAACTGCATTCTCATAAGGTTTAAATACATTTGTAGGTCCATCTCTTTCCAGTGTAGAATTTTCTGTAACCATCTGTTCTATTTTTTCAAAGCAATAAATAATTTAAATATACAAACTCCATGTCGACAAAATATAAATATAAATTAACAAATAAATACCTTCGAAATTCTTTGGCTCTTCTTTTATCTTAACTTCACACGGCTTCCCAATGTCATTAGCCCGTTTCATGTTGTTCATAATTTGCTCACGGATACTTGTAATATTCAAGTCATAATAATCCTTCAAAGAAACTGTCCCGACTGTACCTTGAACTATAGAAAAGCTACTATGAAAAAATTATAACAAATTAAGAAGAAAAAAGGTTATAAAAGAAAACGAAATAAAGAATAGTACACTAGTAAGAAAGGTTTATATCCATGCAAGGTTTAGTTTACAACTAATTTCAAGTTTTTTTAAACAAAAGCTTAAAAGTTACTTAACATGTTCAACACAGCTGACCTTCAATGGAGCCAAATTACGCCAAATAGCAGGATAGCTAGCATGCAAGTCATAATGTATAAAAAAATTACTTTAAAAAAAAATTACAACCCAGAAGGGGGAAAATAGAAATTCCAGCTTGCATTGAACATGTTAAAATTGAAGTAAAGAAGAAAAGACACAATCCTTTATTATTATTATTTATTTATTTTTTTCAGTGAAACTTTTTTTCATAATGTGCTGATGTCCGTATAAAATGCAATGTGTGTTTCAATCTTATCTTGTTTGGTCACTGCACAGGTTCGTTGTAATTTGGTTGAGGAAGTCCTTTCATTATCAAAGGTTGAATATCAATAAAGCCTTTAGTTCCAACTGTTTATTATTTTATTCAGAAACTTTTTAATTTACAACAATTAATTAAGGTTTTTAGTTGAGATAAAATTTTTTAATTTACATTGTAAACATCTTCAGCCATTATCCTTTACATAAATAAATTGAGTTACAAATATATAAATTTTGAAAAATTGTTTACTAATATTTAGATTAGTTTATTCTTTAAACTAAGTTAGTATAGTTAAAAGTTATTAGTACACAGATTTTTCAAAATTTATACATTTGTCACTCTTGCTCGTGACACTGACTTTTTTATCTCAACTTAAAAACCTTAATTAATTGAATGTTATTAATTGATCAAGCGGACCACGAAAATAGTGAATTTGTTTATTTATGTATAGGATATGGGCTGAAGACGCTGAACAAGTGAAAAGCTTTTCGAATAAACTAATAAACGGTTGGAACTAATGGCTTTGTTAATATTCAACCTTTGACAAAAAAGGTAAAGTTGAATTGAACTACTCATATACATCCTCAGGCAATATTGCAGTGCAGAAACATCAATGATCCTGATGTTAAGTGCAAGTGCATTTTGTTGAAATTGGTGTTGTTCCAGAATGTCTACCCTTGCCATTCAAAATATTTTATTTCAAGTCAATGTCGTAAGGGATCTGCATTGGCTGAACTGAAAAATTCAGCTCTACATGTTCTTTGCTACAGATTCTAAGTAAAATTACATAAAAAGGGAGTCTTTTTAACCTATGTAAATCAGTATTCGGATTACTGAAAAATTCAGAATACAACTTAAAATACACAACACTGCAAGTCAATTTTTCATTAAAAATTATTTAACATTTTCTTCATTTCTTCTACCTCTTTTTCTAATTTTTAAGCAATAGGTATATTACATTTAACAAAAGGATCTGTCTGATCTAACATTTCATTTTTTAGTAATGAAGAAGGTTAGGGATTCACTGTACATTCTCGAAAAGTTTAACTTTAATCTAATCTTGGTCTTTCACTTGGTCATTCTCACTTTCTCTGTCTCATTCACTCTCTCACTTAATCGCTCACCCCCATTTTTCTCTCTTCCTCTCACTCGTTAATTGTAAAAAGTGTTTGCGACCTAAATTTGCGAGAAGTTTTATTATTAAATATTGTTTTTTTATTTAATAATAAATTTTATTACAATTAATTAAGATTTTTTAGTTGAGATAAAAAAGTCAATGGCACGAGCGGGATTCAAACCCACGACCTTCGGCTAGATACGCCGCTGCTCTACCACTTGAGTTATCGTGACCTCGATCCGCTCGGACACTAACTTCCCAGCTCAACCCCACCTTTTGAATTTTCCCTCCTTTTTGCCATTTGTCATTTCGAATCCCGCTCGTGCCATTGACTTTTTTTATCTCAACTAAAAAACCTTAATTAATTTTAATATATTAATTGGTCAAGCGGACCACGAAATTAGCGGAAATAAATTTTATTATTAAATAAATTCATTAATTCATTCTCACTCACTCATTCACTTACTCTCTCACTCTCTTAATATCAAACTCTTTCTCTCACTCTATAAACGCTCAATAATGGATTGCCAATGAAGAAAAAATGGCAATTTATTCACTAGCTCAAAAATTTACAGAATTACCCATAAACGACCAATTTGCTCAAAACCTTATTTTTGACTTACACCACTTTTGCATACAATGGGTCAATTTGTAATAACTAATTCAGCCTGTTGAGTCATATTTGATCATTTTAGTCTGCTTACAGTTAGTTCCACACACCAGACTGAATCAGGAAGATGGCGAAAGTGCGTCTGACAGACCAAAATTATCAGATATAATTATGTCATGTTAACCTCTCAGACCGCATGAAGAAATGTTATAATTAATTCAGGGTTAATAAGTTCTTAAATTATTAAAGCTAATGTTTATGTATTTTTATGCAAGAGCAGTCTGATGTTGCTTAAACTTTAAAAAAAAAAATTCCAACCAAATAAAACTACACCAAACTACTTAAGCTTAGATTTAACGTTGAATTACTGATTAATAATATTGCACTAAAACTACAACTCAAACCACTAGCAAGACATAACAGCCTCAGTAAGAAATGATAAACTAATGATAAAGCAGTGCACCATATTAAAGTAACAGTTTTTAATTGATTTTTACCTGGTCCATGTCTTCTTGGAGCTGAATCAATCCAGCATATACAAAAACAGGGATATTTAGTGCACATTGACATTACATAGAATTTTTAAAAATAAGACTCACCTGGTACAATATCAATTGTATTGTCTCTAAAGTTGACAACCTTCTTGCAACAAGGATTTGGAACTACCAAGTTTAGGTCTTTGATTTTGCCGATATGTCGTAAAATATGCCTGAAAAGTTAAGTAGGAATAGAAAAAAATTTTTGAAACGAGTTTTAATGATAGTTACTCTTTGGACTGCACAATAGAGCAATCAGAACTGTTGCACAAAACGTTGGTTGTGAAACAGGTGCAATGTTTAATGGTCTTCATTTTTTCTTTCACTTCTTTCTGCTTCAATTCGTATATTTCAGTCTGGGTTTTTGCGATTGCCCTAACTCGTGACAAAAGTGTGTGCTTCTTCTTGTTGATTTTTGCAATCAGCCTGAAAACATGTTTCATTTTTTTCTTTATATTACTATTATCTATTACAATTAACTCACAGAGTAGCTAAGTCGTTAATTTGTTTTTTAATCTGTTCACTTTCTTCAAGAAGAGATTGTTTCCTTTCTTCCATTATTGGCACAGCAGCTTCTAAAATCTTTAAAAAGTATCTGGAAAATTTCAATAAGGGGTTAACTAACAAGATAGTTTTATTTTTTTATTAGTATTTTTTAAAATTATTAATGTCCTTATGAACTTGCATCTTAGACAGAGAATATGTATTTGTTTCATTATATGGTGTTGTTGGGCAAAGGGTAAAAAATAAGGCCATGGGGTCTACAAGACGAGAGTCTATCATGCTGACCACTCGGCTACTGCGGTCCCTCCCTCCAAAATAAAAAGTCTAAAGGGTGTAAAAAGATTAGTAGCACTCTATAAAGGTAAACAGCAAGTTATTAATGTTTTGTTTACATTTTAAGTCAACTATTAATCTTTATACCTAATTATTATAGAAAATGAATTAATAAATACAAATGTCTGGTTTATATGAGTGTATAATTAAATGGTAACTCTGTTGACAGAAGAATCTCCATCAGGATGTGTAAAACGTTATAATAATTATTATTATTTCATATAAGAGCCAGAATATGCAAAATTTCATATTGATCATGTAATGCGAAAAGAACCAATTGTGTTGTTGAGGCGATTTTTTAATATCCATGCACACATGCAACTTGCCCTCATGAGATTTTTTGTCAGATGATTTTTAAATGAACAGGAAAAAACACCCATGTTTGCTTATAAGCGTTTACATAAGCATATTATTTCTACACAAATTATAGAATAAAAATTACCTTAGTGATACATTCTCCTTATGGAGTTCAACTTTAGCCTTATCGACAATATCTGTGACAAAGTCGTAAGAATGGTCACGATGTATGAACAACTGACAGTCACGGCATGTTAAAAGATTGCACGTAAAGCAAAATAATTGGAGTGGTTCCTGTAAAATAAATTATTAAAAATTTGTTTTAAATTGTTAGACAGTTGTTACCTTAGGATGTGTTTTGCACATGTATCTCAAACAAGGGTCATTCCAGTGTTCCTCTTTTGTCTTGATCACATGAGATTTTGTCTCCTTTAATTGACTATGGTACTTGATGCATTCTTCGCAAATTGAGTCACCACATCCGTAGCACCAATGAGTCGTCAAATTTGATGTGTGCACACCACAAAATCCTATATTTTTCTTTGCTATCACTGTTCCATCTACCATCTCCTGAAGGATAAAATTGTCTAACAACTTTTTCTCCACCTCCATCAGGCATTCCGGGCATTGTTTTTTCTCTGAAATTAAATTAGTCATTTCTGATTGTTCTGGTCTGCCTCGATATTTTAGTCTGTAAGGTGATATAGGGCATTTTGCCATCTTCGGTTAGTGAGGTTAAAAAGGTTGAGACAATAAATTCTTTAATTTATTCCAAACACTCTCCAAAAAACCAAACATCCTTCATTAATAACTTTAAGATAGGTAAATCTCATTTTTTTAAGACTGTTTATTTACTATTCTGGCACTGCACCTGAGAACAATCGAGCTAGTGGCTGCAGTCTTTGTCCTGATACACAGCTTCATAAACAGTTGCTTCACGCAAAGTCTCATATACAGTCTCATAAACAATCAACAAATTGCTTTCAATTAATGAATCCACCATTAAAGATGGATAAAGCAGAAACATTTTCCAGACACGAGCTGCGAGGATGGAAAAATCAGGATGATCGAAGATGATAAAAACTACAGACTCTTCACCTCGCGGACCAAATTTGAAATTTGGAACAAACACACCAATGAAGTTGAATAAAAGCAAATTTCCAGTCCAAACTTGGGAGGGTGGACAAATCAAGGTTGATCAAAACTCCCTGTTCATAACCTTGCAGGCCACAAGAAGAAAAAATCTTTCCATTTTTTATAAAATGAGGAAATATCCGACCATGTTTTATTCTTTTATACTTAAGAAGTAATAGTAATTTTTCAATATAAGAAAAACAAAATAGTCCGTCACTTTTTACGAGTTTTGCAAATTTAATTTAAGTAATTGCATGAATAAAAGCAGACTTCCAGTTCAAACCTGGGAGGATGGACAAATCAACGTTGATCAAAACTACCTGTTCATCACCATGCATGCCACAAGAAAAAAATCTTACCATTTTTTATAAAATGAAGAAATATCCGACCATGTCTTGTTCATTTAAACTTAAGAAGTAATAGTAATTTTTGAATATAGGAAAAACAAAATAGCCCTTTTTTAAAAAAGGATTGAACACCGCTCTCACTCCATCATTCACCATTTCTAACAAAATAGTCCCTCACTTTTTATGAGTTTTTCAAATTTAATTCCAGAAATTGCTTTAAATTTGAAACCGACCCACCAATTTAGACGAATAAAAGCAGACTTCGAGTCCAAACCTGCGAGGATGGACATTCAGGATGATCACAACTACTCATTCATCACCTCGCAGGGCTCAAGAAAAAAATCTTACCTTAATAGCCACCCATGTTTTTATACTAAGAAAGTTATGCTATTTTTTCAACATAGAACATATAAACTACGCTAATTCAATCAACAAATTGCTTTAAATTTGAAACAAAACCCAACAATTATGATTGATAGAAGCACGTCACAGACAGAACCTGCGAAGATGGACAAACAGTTGGAGGATGGGGTTTGAATATCAACAAATTACGGCTTATCACTGCACAGATTAAAAAAAAAATCGTTTTTTATGAAATAAGAAATGAGCTGAGTATAGTTTATTCTTTGATAGTAAGAAATTAATATTTCGTCTACATAGGACATTCAAACTAGCATGTTACTTTTTAAGGGATTTGGCTGTATAAATTTTAAATTAATATTACTAGATATATGCGCTAAGGTATTAAAAAAAAGTATTAAAGAATTTTAGTGAAATATTTTATTGATTAGTCAATGCTCGGCTCTATGAGACGGAGATCATAAGAAGGCATTATTGACAATCGAGTGGAAAATGTACCGACCTGTCTGTTCCCATTTGGCAATGCAGTCTCTGCAGACGGAGTGACAGCATTCGAGAAATTTCGAACTAACGAAATCTTCGTATGAGTTGATGATATCGCATTTGCAGAAAACGCAGGCGGTCAGCGTCAAAACATCGGCTCTGATCTCATCCGGCAGTTCTTCTGCAGGTTTATCAAGCAAAGCTTCCATCTCGCATCAATAAAGGATCGGAAAGTTCCAAATTCTATGCTCGACCCATCCACCGTCCAGTTGGAATCTGTCTAATTAACGAGATATCAAAACAAATACAGCTGAACTGAAGCCATGGCCGACAACATCACAGCAGGGAGGTTACCTATCAAAGCTCTACGAATCTTATTGGCCGATCGAATTCTGTCGAAAATCAAAGTACAAACGTATATTTTTTATTAGTATATAATATTGTTTTACACATAATATAAAAATAATAAATTGTATGAACACCAACTAGTGAATATTAAATCCTTACACAATCAAAACCGGTGAAAAATATGAATATTTTATCCATTACGGATGTGACTACAAAGGTAGGGGCTTTTTGGTATGAATGTGCATGTGCACTTTATATAAAATGCAACTCTATGCATATTATAAGATAATAGAGGAATATAAAGTGCATCATTAGATAAGGGAGAAATTTAATACATAATGTATAACTAAACATATAAATAAATAAAATGTATGGATATCATTAAGGTCAAATAAAAAATGGTACATATTTCTTTTTTAATTTAGAATATTTAGTTTAATTTATATACAATTTTGTTTCCAAAAACACTTCATATCTGGTATGCATCATGTTATACGAAACTTTGGCAAAGCAAGCTCGGCCAAAGTTAAAAAAAAATCGTATGTAAGCGGACGACGGCGCGGCGGCCGAATTATCTCTTGATCTTCGCTTGTTTTTCTCTAAGCGACAAGAGATTAGTCGGCGTAAGCGCGTCGCTACTTATTCTTGTGTAGGGGAAGGTAAGGTTCCAGAATTCAATAAACCAGAGACAGTATTCAGTAACATTTATTGTACACAAGTCTTTCTCTTAATCTTAAAAACCTCGGAATCTTACTTAATCTGCAAGTCAGCCACAACTCTAAATCTGGGATGAGTCTATCAACAAAGGGACTTACCCCAAACGATGCTCGCCACGATCAGTGTCCACAGCATCTCTTCTCTCGACCTCTGACTTGGCTCGATGGTCGCAACGGCTGGTCCTCGCTGGCTCTGGCTGGCTGAGTCCTCTTGTTGAATCCCAGACGGAGTGTGGCTGCTTCTCTCCCGGTCCTCGGTCTTGGCTGCCTGGGGTGAGTCTCGGATCTTGACTCACTGGGGTGAGTCTTGCAGCTTGACTGTTGACTGTCTGCTTCACTGATTTTCCAGTCATCCCATTTATACCGGGTCTCTCCCGGGGTAGGGGATGAAGAGGAAACTCAAAAGTCGGGGGGAGATCTCACGCCGCGGCGGGGCCGAAAAAGACGGCGGTCTAGCACAGCGTTGACGTATTCTCAATTTACGATGTCCCCCTTTCTTACCTAGCTGTCTACCTGGGTAACCATGTCTAAGCTATATTTGCCAGATGTGTCACGTCGTTCCCATCTGGGCGGTGCCCCTTCAAAGGACAACCTTTCCTCGTTTACCTATTCTGTTCTTATTTTACAATTTAACTTATTGCTAAGACGGGGGCCGGCTTACACGTACATACATAAATAATGTAAGCCGGCCCCGTCTTAGAATAAATTGTATTTGTATAAGCACACAATAATTACCACACCCAGATCACCCAGACGGGAGTGACGTGCATTTCTCACAAAGCAGGGGTACCTAGCCCTGCAATAATTGCACGGTTGGTCGAAAGATGTCACATCACAGGCGGGTGCGACGTGGTATTTCTCACAAACCAGAGACACCTAGCCCTGCAATGATTTTACAGCTGGTCGATAGATGTCACAGCACAGGTAGGAGCGACGGGATATTTCTCACAAACCAGGGTTAGCTAGCCCTGCAGTGATTGCAAGTATGGTCGAAAGATGTTACAGCACTGGCGGGAGCGGCATGGCATTTCTCACAACCCAGGGATACCTAGCCCTGCATTAACGCTACACATGGTCAATAAATACGGACGTTGAAGGGTGTTGCAGATCCAGATGGGAGCCACATGATGTTTCCCAAACCTTGCAAACATAAAGTTGCAATAGTTTGTCAGCCGTTCACATAAATAACTAACGGCGTGTTATTAAGTTGTCACAAGGGCAAATATATTAAGCGACGTGGATCATTGTAAATCAGAGCCTCGTCAACCAGTTGCGTGACACTCGCCTTAGCCGTTCCACCCACGGCATGGGGACTCCCCCGTCTTATGATTTTCCTTTCACCCCTACTCCGGTAGATAAACTGGTATGAAAAGGGATGATTTGAAAATCAAAAGTCAGTCTAGTTTAGGGTATCAAACCAGTGAGTCAAGCTCAGGGGCTCACACCAGTGAGTCTTGTTCTAGCAGCCATACTCCGTCTGGGACTCAACCAGGGGACTCAATCAGCCAGTATGACTCATCGGATCAAGTCGATGGTCGAGATACTGGAAAGGCGCTGAAGATGCTGAGGACGCTGATCGTGGCGAGCGTTGTTTGACGCCATTGTTGATAGACGCATCCCAGATTTAGAGTTGTGGCTGACATATTGGCTAAATTCTTACTCGCCCATCCAGAAGGAAAAAGACGTTTCCCACACACCTGGAAATCATAAAACCGTGACATGTTAGTCCCACTAAATAAATTAAATCGAGGAGTTATTTAGTTTTGAAAGGTTCTCGCGGACACGGTTCATCAAGCTGCGGGACACCATAAATTGGGGTCACGTCAGCCGGGTGGGCGTTGACCATTCTTAGCCGGAAGTCCATCGACTTTGGGCCAGTGGGCTGCGTAATAGAAACTCCTGAGGTGAGTTATGGCGCGGCCACCCAGGTCATGACCCCCCCCCCCTTATTGAGTCCCTTAGAATGAAGTTGACCATCTGACTCAACAGTTTTTGCTTTTACTTTTCACCCTACCTTAGGTGGGTAACCGGTATAAAAGGGGATGATTGGAAAATAGATCTCAGTCACTAGAGGACACAGTCAAACCGAGGAATCAGTGAAGAGCTGACAAGCAGCCTCACTCGGGAACTCAGCCAGCAAGAACTTCGCCATTACGACAAGCCGAATAGAGTGGACTGTCAAGAACCCAGCAATGTGCGGGAACACGATCCTGCAAGACGGTGGTTGATGCGGAAGCTGGTCTTGACGAGCATCTTTTGGAATTCCTCTTATGAATAAGCTCATCCCCGGAATTAGAGTTCTGGCTGAATTGCCTTCGTTATTTGACGTTCTCTTTGTTTCGTACAATATTGAGGATAGGCCAGTGTAACAATAAATGCTTATGAGTATATATCTCTGCTTTATTGTATTTTTACTCCCTACACGAAAAGTATTTAAGCACATACGCTGAATGTTCTCTTATTACTTAGCGATAAGCATATAGAGCGTCAGTGCCCGTTTACAGATAATTAAAAGAATCGAAAAAATGGCATCGATTCTTTAATCGATTTAGACCGATTCATAAATGTATCGAAAGATTCTTACTTAAAAGCGTTGAAAGAATGGCATTGATACCTACTTAAAAGTATTGGATAAATGGTATCGATACCTAAAAGTATTGAAAGAATCGCATCGATTCTTAAAAGTATCGAACGAACGGCATCGGTTCTTAGAACTGACGAAAGAAGTACGTAGGTACAAACTTAAAAGTATCGAAAAATCGCATCGATTCTTAAAAGTATCGCACGAAGTGCACCGATACTTGAAAGTATCGAACAAATAGCATCGATACGCACTTAAAAGTGGCGAATGAGTGGCATCGATACTTAAAAGTATCAAAAGAATTGTATCAATACTTAAAAGTATCGAAAGAGTGGCATTTATACTTGAAAGTATAGAAAGAATTACATCGATACATATTTAACAGTAGAGATAACATGGTATCAATTCTTAAAAGTATCTAAAGAAGTCCATCGATGATTAAAAGTATCGCTAGAATTGCATCGATACATAAAAGTATCTAAAGAATTGCAACAATACATAAAATTATCTAAAGAATTGCGTCGATAAATAAAAGTATCTAAAGAATTGCATCGATACATAAAAGTATTTATACAAAAGTATCTAAAGAATTGCAACGATACATGACAGTATCTAAAGAAGTGCATCTATACATTCTGTAGTTAAATGGCATGATTCTTAAATGTATCGCAAGAATTGCATCGATACATAAAAGTATATAAAAATTGCATTGATACATAAAAATATCTAAAGAATTGCATCGATATTTAAAATTGTCGAACAAATGGCATCGACAATACTTAAAAATGTCAAAAGAATGGCCTAGTTATCTACTTAGAAGTATCGAAAGAGTGGAAAACTGTGAAAAGAATTGCACCTAAGCATAAAAATATCTACAGAATGACATCGATACATAAAAGTATCGAACAAATGGCACCGATACATAAAAGTATCGAACAAATGGCATCGATACCGAACGTACCGAACGAATGGATACCTAAAAATATGGAAAGAATAAATCATACTTAAATGATTGAAAGGTTTGCCGTCAATACTGACAAGTAGAAGGAAAGTTACGTATACCATCATGTAAGGAACATACAAAATTGAAACCTCAATAATTTATTAATATTAACAGAAGGCTATAATAAATATGAAATCGTGAAATTAATGTTAGACTCTATTAAATTCTCCAGCTCAGAAAGTTTAGATAGATTATAAGGAACAAAAGAACTGTTCCAATAGGAAAGTGTATGCAATGAGGAGGAGAAAACAGCCACCCATATCATCTTCAAATGCGAAGGAACGGCTCAATGGAGATTAACCTAGCATACAGGAAAAACCTAGGGAATGAAATTCTAGCAGCAACAGTCAATGACCTAATATTTATGGAAAGAAGGATTGAATCGATTGCACTGAACTAGGGAACTAGGAAGGTACAATAAGCCAGAAGACTGCAGTGCCTGGGGAGTTCAAACCCCGCTTCCTAGATTCATCATTATCATCACTGGAAGGTGTAGAAACTCGACGGCCAATTAGTCCCATTAAATAGCGTAGGGGTTCTCCAAGCAAATGATGCAGTAAATTCTGGATAGGGTTTTGAGCCTCTACACTCTAGGAAGTAAGACGTCCAGAAATTGCGGGTGCAGCAAGAAAATCTTTGACCACTAGGAATTGCACTTTGCACTTTCTTCCACCGTTATTTGGGACTAATAAAATAGTGAAGGATTGGCACGATTCAAGCCGCCCCAGTGACTACTGAGGAAAGGTCGTACGTGAGATATGACCTATAAGAGGTAGAACAGATGATGGATTCCAACTCTCAACCCAAGTATTTCTTTGGTTCAACACAAGTTGGCTATAATCAATTATATAATATTCTTTATATGAATGAATTTGATCACGTGCATTCTGAGAGGGGTGCAAACTTGGGATCTCAGGAGGGGCACCTTCGAAGACAGACTAGATGCAGATTTCAGGCTAAGAGAGACTGAAGACCTCAGAAGGTGCATTGACGAGAGAGGGACAGACTTAACTCGAATCGTAGTTACGTAGGTAGTCCATTTGCTAACTAGTTTTTAACTTCCTTCTATTCAATAGCAATTAAACACGAATTATTTAAATTTAATGCCGCGTCTGTTTAATATTTCACAAGGCAACGACGATAGTTCGTAATGTGGATCTCTCGGATTCTTCTGGTTGTGATCCATTTCTGCCTTAATACTAATTGCTAGGTATATTAATTTTGCATGTTTTAAAATAAAACGTAAAGGAAAAATTATTAAATGAAACTATGTGATTGTTATTTTGGTACATATAACCCTTTTTGGAAAACAATGTAAGATATTAAAAGACCACTTCGATCAAAGTCGTCTCAATTAACAAGACATTGGGCCAAAAATAAGTTTAAATATTTATTTAAAGCATGCATTTTTAAACACATCTGGAGTGGGTCAGATCATGGGCGACGTGTAAAAATATCTCCTTCCTGCTCTAAATGCTGCGCTGAAAATCCAACCAACTCAATTGTTTGTGTTGAGGCACATTTGGCCTAATTGGGGTGTGTTTCGTTTTAAAGTCAAGATCGATCGTAACTGACTACTCCTCGTTCCAGCCCAGAAAAGCTGAGATCAGTTAATCTTAAACTCTTTTTTTAGTCATACGTCGATATCAACGAAGTGTGCCTGACTCACATTTTTCAGGTCGGTCTTATCTCCGGAATTTGTATAAAGAAATTGGGTTATCTGTTGAACATGATCCATGTGACGAAATGTGTCAGAACAAGTTTTGTCTTGAGCCCTGCGCGTT